AAAATCTGCAGCCTCTCCATCGGTCTGCCTCAGTGGAAACTACAGTCGTGGAGATTTTTTCACAGATGGAACCTTGTAAACATATGAAATCAGAAACATGCTGTAGCCTATTCTTATGATCAAAACAAGCTTGTAATAAACAGCCCTGGGAGTAAGTCTGTGAAACTGGAGCTGATTGGCTGAGTGAAGGGGGCTTGCATCTCTGACAAAGCTGACAGCAATAAATGCCAAATAAATTATGCACGTTAAAACCAGTGATGCAACAAAGCATTTTTAGAGATAATACGATCTATCTACTTACATGTTCTGCTCTTTGAACATTAACACCTATCTTTAATTTGATCACAGAGAAACCAAGCCCCCTTAAGCCCGGATCACTGGTTTGTTGTCATATGAGCAACATTAGCTTGTGTAGTGAATACTTTGCTTGGAATAATGAAAACACAGCTCACAGTGTACATGGTGACTCAGAGGTGCGCTGTAGAAGAGGTGTGAATGGGCCCTGATTAGATGGAGTGGGTAATAGTGTACTGCTAATTACAGAGTATTATCCAGAACCACTACCCAGGTGTGTAAACAGATTTTCATTTTAATCCAGCTGGATCTATGGACCGTATGTCCTTGAGAAAAGATTCATTTCTCAATGTACTCATAGCCAAGGTTTCTCACTTTCTCCCACTGGGTTCTTGAGTTGCTCTTTGCAGATGAAGGAGGGTCTAAGGACAGTGGTGATCCGGGACCTTTTCAGACATCTGTGGACATTTATGGACAGTGGTTCTTCCGCTTCCTATGGACCAAGGCTCCTATAAGTTTGTTATTATTACTTTTCCTGTGTTCCAACTGTTGGCACATCTTTGTTAAGTCCTACTGTTGCGACAGCTCATTGGGGGCACTGACCTGTGTATTTTACACTCATACTCGATAAAATGATCGGACGACTAGTTAAGGTGCACGCTTTCTGTTCTCATTTTGTGGACCATATATTGTATGTCTTATGTTTGCATATTTGTGTGTGTTTTTTAAAAATGACTCTGTGGTGGGTTCTTTCCTTTCTTTCTTTTACTATCTTTCCTTTCTTGGGTGGGTTATTTAAAGGGGACAGAACAAACAACTTGACTACATTTTAAGTAACCACTGCCAGGTCCATAGACCATTTGGCCAGAGGCTGATTTGCACACCTGCTTTTTGGCACAAAACAGACAAAAACAGAAGACAGACACCAAACACATTAGAACACTTCAACTATATACTATTTACAGATTAAAACATTCAGTTTGGCATGTTCTCTGAGCATCCAGTGATTACATGTTGCTTTTACTGTATGTATTATAGCAATTTCCTTTCATAAAATCGATTATGTGAGTATCAGAATCAGCTTTTATTGCCATTGCCAACAACATTGCCTTGGCTCTTTGTAGATACAAGTTAAAAAGTCACAATAAAATAAGGCATACATACAAATAAAACATCTACATTACCTTTCTTTAAATTACTACTATATACAAGTGCACAGAGTAGACTTAAATACTAGAGTAAATGGTGTCATTGCAGTAGAAGTCCACTCAGGATATTGGCTAAATAGGTCCATCCATCCATTTTCTTCCGTTTTATCCATTCCTGAGATGCGAGGGCAGCTGTCTGACCTTATCCCTAGTCCTTCGATGTCTGAGCCACCTCAACTGGCTCAAACAGACGTGGTGAAGCAGCGGCTCTACTCCGAGCTCTCCTGTGTGACCGAGCACCTCCCCCTTTCTCTAAGGGAGTGCCCAGCCACTCTGCAGCGGAAACTCATTTCGACCGCTTGCACTCACGATCTCGTCCTTTCGGTGATACCCAAATTAGATAGATAGATACTTTATTGATAGATAGATACTTTATTGATAGATAGATACTTTATTGATAGATAGATACTTTATTGATCCCAGTAGGAGAAGTTCAGGTGTCCAGATTAGAACCCCTGAAGGAAAATTGACTAAATTAACAATAGAATTTCCCCATAGTTTTCTTGATTACATGCGTGCACAAATACTATTGTTCTCCCCAACAGCAAATGCAGCTTTGCTCTCGTTGAATTCTTTTCTGCGATAAAAGCTTCAATCCATTGTGTCGGGCTGCAGGCATGATGTGCGGCACGGGCTGGACAATCATCAGCTAATCACATTGTTGACAGACGCGGGCAGACGTTATCCTCCAAAGCCCAAACTAATGCGTGTCTATAGACCGCAGAAGCAGCCATCAGAGAAGCAGTTTTACCACAGTTAATCTGCTGTAATTCATGTTAAAGTGAGTCAGAATTAGTCTCTGCAGACTTTAGTTTATGGACTCCACACTGAGATGAATGAGCTTGGATCGTGTGATGGCAACAAAACGGTTTGTGGCTTTAGCTTGTTACAGTATTGTGGTTTATATTAATCAATAAACCGCCTATAATAGATTCATAATGAACCCGCACTTCAGGATTCAGCTGTCGTCTGGGCTCTTATCTGTGTTTGCAGCATGACATTTACCCACGACTAATCCATCATGGGAAACGTGTGAGGTTAGCACGAACAGGCTTTTCTTTCGTCGTTGAGACAGGAAAATATCCACAGGAAAATATCTTTCACTCTTTCTATTGGTCATCTATCAACACTACCAATGTGTTTTCTGCTCTATTTCTTATGTTTGAACTGTTTGATTCTCTTAACTGCAAATTCAACTGCAAAACTTTTGTGATAACTACTGTTGTGATTTAGGGCTATACAAGAATACATTTAATTGAATTGAACTATTGTGATATTGCAATGACCCCACAGTAATTAACAGAACCTAAATTTTTGGATCTCTGTATTCACTCCTCTTGAATTGTGGAAAGTATCTGTGGAAGTATTTTAATTCAAGCAATCCAATCTTCAAATCTTTTAGTCCTATTGGAAGACTTGGAGGTACAGTGGATAGCGCTTGTGCCTCAAAGCAAGAAGGTCCTGGGTTCGATTCCACCTCCAGACCTTTCTGAGTGGAGTTTCCTCTGAGTGCTCTGGTTTCCCCAACCGCAAAAAATAAGTACAATAGGTCTGGCATGCGCCTTCTGTAGGACAACCTCGCCCCATCTCTGTGTGGAGTGAGAGACAAATGCTTTAGGGCGGGGCGATATGGCAAAAAGTAAAATCTTGATTTTATTTCCTGCTTTGGACGATTTCATTTTTTAAATCGATTTTCATTAAAATCACCGAAGACAGACTTTGCCCTTAAAAATATTTGTTGATCTTTCCGCTCAATATTCAAGTTTCAAAACTATTTTTAATTTGTTTCCCCCAAAAGTCTTGTACAGACTGTGCTGATATTGCAAGTATAATTCATGTGCTGCTGGAACTCTCACAATATCCTGCATTCAAATTGCCAAAATTCGATTTATTGGCCAACCCTAAAATAACAAATGTAAAGAAGTTTGTGACTGTGGTCTGTGAAAGGCGCTATATAAAAAAAGATGACTTACTTACATGTGAAATGAGGATAATACAGGAGTGATGTGGTTGTGACACAGACTTTGTTCATGTTTAGCCACAGTAACTCTGCCTCTAATGCGTTTGGAAAAAGGCAGAGACAACCATCAGCCTGCTTCGTGCAATCATTTTTCCCATCCGTGAATGCACTAAGAGCTTTTTTATAATAACACAAAAACAAACCAAAGTGCGTTCACCGCATGTTGTTTTGTTTCTCTTGTTTGTATCTCCTGTTTAACGCTTACCAGAATGCAGCTCTGTGATTGGCCAGTCTCTTGTCAATTGATAGAGAGTAAGGTTTCCAAAGAGCCATGATTATATTTTAAGTTTTAAAGAGTTTTACACGTATTTGTCAAGAGGACTGGTAATACAAATACAACAGAAGCCAATGCACTACTTACTAGTGACCAAATCATTTTTGTTCCTGCCAACATAACAACAGCAGTGGTTTCAAAGGTCATGAAGGGATTTTGATCAAATTACAAGTACTGAATTTGCGTTGCATATTATTGCTGGTAGAATTTTCTGAACAAAATTAGAAAAGCTGCTTTGATTTAGTTAAAACTGGAGCAGGAGCGTTCAGAATCGTAGAAGGCTCGGCCACTTCTATTGCGTTTAGGTTTCAAGTTTACGTTTACCTTTCTTTGATCAAATTTGAATTACTGTCACTCTAACTGATTTTTAAAGACAATACAGTTTGGAGAATACAAGGACGTAGCCGAGACGCAATAGTTAATAATTAAAACTATTACGTCTTATATCCATATTGAATACACTAGAGTCAAAACATTTACACATTTTTGTCAATTATTTTTACAAACAATTATATTGAGCCCAAAATATATAGTTTTAGACATCAGTTATTGAACATTAAGCACAACAACCGCAAGCTACAACAAACAAAGCAAATTAGCCGTTGTGTTTGTAGCTAGAGATGTAGCTTATTTAGCATTAGCAAGCGCTGTAGTAAACATTAGCCACGGCAGAAGCTAGCATGCGGGCAGAGTGTGTGTGTCTGCGAGTGTGTGTGTTTGGAAGTGTGTGCGTGTGGTGTGTGTCTGTCTGTCAGGATCAGGCTATATTTACTTTTAAAGGATTTTACAAAAATAAATGTTTAGTATTCACCTCAACACTGTTGGTACTAAGCTTTGATGTCAGGTAGGGTTTCATGGACAAGAATCCCCCGCTAACCCCTTATACACTGTATTTGTGTACTTGTGTGTACATGTAACTATGTGTGTGTGTGTGTGTATATACGTAGGCGTGTGTGTGTGTGCATTTTGACGCTTGTGCTAATGTGCGTAGCTGTTACATATTTGTGTGTGTATGTAGCTTACATGTGAGCGTGTATTGCATGTTATGTTCCGTTGTGTTTGTCTGTTTGTCACGTTGCATTGTCATGTGTTGTGTTGGCGTGTTGTGTTTTGGTGTTGTGTTGGCGTGTTGTGTTGGCGTGTTGTGTTGTCGTGTTGTGTTGGCGTGTTGTGTTGTCGTGTTGTGTTGTCGTGTTGTGTTGGCATGTTGTGTTGTCATGTTGTGTTGGCGTGTTGTGTTGGTGTGTTGTGTTTCCGTGTTGTGTTGGTGTTTTGTGTTTCCGCGTTGTGTTGGTGTGTTGTGTTTCCGTGTTGTGTTGGTGTGTTGTGTTTCCGCGTTGTGTTGGCGTGTTGTGTTGCCGTGTTGTGTTGTCATGTTGTGTTGGCGTGTTGTGTTGGTGTCTCGTATATTAATTATTAGTTAGTGTTAATATTATTAATAATAATTATGATTCTTACGACTGTTTCATTGACTACTTTTATTGTTTGAAAAGTGCTCAACAAACAAACATGTATTTTTATAAGTATGGTTAAGTTGTGTACTGGTCTCTCACTTTCCTCGTTGTGTGCCACAGATCAGCTGAAGCGGCGGCTGAAGGAGTACGGCCTGGTCACTCCCTTCAGCACCGACGCTCACGGCCACTTCCTGTCGCACCTGCTGTCCGCTTCGCACAAACACCGCTTCAAACGAGACGCCGACGAACCCCACAACAACATCTTCTTCAACATCACCGCCTTCGGGAAAGAGTTCCACCTGCGTCTGCGGCCGAACCCTGGCCTGGTGGCTCCGGGCGCGGTGGTGGAATGGCACGATGGGGGCGATGAGGATTTAGGAAACGTGACAAGGCGTTTGGACTCCAATCAAAGCGAACTGCGGCGGGAACTACTGAAGACGGACTGCGCTTTCATCGGCGACATCACAGACGTTCCCGGGGCATCTGTGGCGATTAACAACTGCGACGGACTGGTGAGTTTTTACGTCTGCTTTCCTTTAACTTAAGGGTCTGTGGAAAATCATCCTCATAGAGACGGGATCTTTACGTACCAGAGCCATCAAGATGTTTATTCTCAGTTTCCTTCAGTTTATTCAGACAGAACAAAGTCGGGACAAGCTCTATATAGTCCATTTTAAGTTGCACATACGTCAAACATGGAAAGGCATACGTGTCGCATCAAAGACAATCAGAACATATTACAGTCATAACACGGATACACAATCGTCCTTGTGACTGTGAGGGCCAGATATTACTTTTAGCAGCAGTAATATAATTGTAGTCTATATGATAATTGCAGCCAATTACACACCATTTATAGAGTACAGTATCCATGCTTAAATGACACAATTTACAATTAGAATAGATGTATTCTGACTCAATAGCGAATAATTAAAGTGTTAAATTCTGGACTCCATTGGAGTGCTCCTGAAAGGGGGTGGCGAGCTACTGCTCCCAAGCCGCAGGTTGGAGACACCCTACTTTTACACATATGCAGTATGTAGTGAGTTATTCTTGAAACTATTAGCCATGTTTTACACGCCCTTACATGTAAAGCAGCGTGTAACTTTCTGGAGGTTGGCAAATCACCCACATGACGTCCATCTATCCATAGCGGTAAACCATTTCCTACAGGTAGAAGTTCTGATCACACCCCCCAAACCCCTCAGGGAAGCAGCACTGCCGCTCGGTGCCACCAGGGCGGGGTCGTAAACTTCGGTTGACCTATTGGATGACACACAAGAAACAAGAAACAAAAAGTTAAAAGTACATTCACTGAAGTTTAGTTTAGTTTGGTTGTTCCACAAAACGAAAAAGATCAGCATCTCAACTTTCAATATTCCAAATGTGTATTGAAATTGAGAAACATCAATCATATAAAAGGTAACAGCAAAGAAGGAGAAAGAACTGCGCCTGGGACTTTGTAAAATAAAATGGAATTGAAAATTGAGATTGATCAATAGGAAGGGGAAACATAATTATTTTCCCAAATCACCCAGCACTACATTTAGTAAGGGTTTGGAACAACAAATACAAAGTTTGGTTTGTGGAGTTACAAGCATGTCTCACACAAAAGTATTTTTAATTCCGTAAAAACAAGTTTGTATTTAAAAAGTAACAAACTTGGGCTTTATATTGTTATTGCGGAAACTTATCAACATAAAGGTTAGGTTTAATATTGTCAAAGAGTCATGGATGCTTACCCGAGTCATGGATATATATAGACAGAATGTATACATGTACAGTTTATATGTCATGTTGAATATGCCAAATCTTTTGTCTCTTTTTGTGGTTAATGCAGATGCCAGAAATGATTGGAAACATAGAAAAACAATGGAAAACTTGGAACAAAACTATCCTTGTGCTAACGGTGTATTTACAGTAGTAGCTTTTAAACAGGCAAGGCAAAGCAAGGTTATCATACATAAGGCAACTCAAAGTGCTGGGACATAAGAATATTAGTCAAAACACTTGCTGCACGTTGATTTTGTTCTCTTACTCCTATTTCCTTGGTTCTTTTGGGAGGAAACGGAAAACCACAAACTCAGGCCACAAAGGGTTACATCTCTTCCCTTGTCGAGCCGTGGTCTTACGTCAAACGCTGAGAGATTTGTAGCCGAGCGTAAATCTCGTATTTACGTCAGCAATCAGCACTTTTACGGCGCTTTGTCACTTAAATATTCAGCAGGAGGACAGATTGAAGAGCATTCTGTCACGGGTGAGTGGACCGGACCAGCGCAGTGTCTTCACCCAAACTCCTTCCCAACATAAAACTCCAGCCTCTATTGTGGGCCGCTGCAGATGTGTCCTCCCTGTTCCCCTCGTAAAACAGTTCAGCCCCTGGAAGAGACTGAGATAATGTGCTCGATACGCCAAATCACATTCTTCCCTCAGAGCGGTTGATGTATGCGAGCTGCGGAATGCTTTGCGCCTTGAAAATAGTATAATTCTGAATTATTCTTTTTTTTATTCTGTTTTTGAAATTGGCTCATTAGCATATACATAGTCATGGAGTGCAAGCATAAACATCCACTTGAAATACACTCTGCAACATTGTTATTGTCATTGTTAGAATAAAGCAGGGACTCCTTTCAAGCCGGCACATAGTTTACATGTATATGGGGGCCTCTCCAAGGTTTATTTCTCATTACGACCTTTGAAGCTGTGCAGAGCAGGGCCTGGTTAGTACTGTGATGGGAGACCTCTGGGAACGCTAGGTGCCACAGTGGGGCGGCTGCAGCTGTAAAGTGCTGAACTGTTGTTGGGTCCTTAGGCAAGGCACTCCACCCACATTGCCTAGAATGAGTCTGGTGTGTGTGTGAATGGTTGGTGGTGGTCAGAGAGGTTGATGGCACATACTGGTTGCCTCGCTCAGTGTACCAGTGAAAATATAATGACATGTGAAGCGTCTTTGAGCGTCAAAAAATAAAATAAAATCATTGCATTATTATTATTTTTACTTGGATGGGACCAAGGTTTCATACTTTTTCCCATTATACTTTTTTGAGTCATTCTTTGCAGTTTCCGTAGGGTGTAAGGACAGTTATGATCTGGGACATTTAAGAACATTTATTAGCATGTATGGACATTTTTTGGTTCCTATGTTATTATTGCTGTTTGATTCTCTCCGTTGTGAAGGAATGGACAACTTTGTAAAGTACTCCAAAACAATTGCTGTTGTGATAAGCAAAAATGAATTATCTTTATCCTTCTTCTTTCTCAATGTTATTATTAAATAGAAGCAGTCAGTGAGTTGAATGTTCCGCAGGCCTTTTCACTCGAAGAAAAAATCTCCTGTTTGCTAACTGCATCTGTGGTCTGAGCGGAGCCTGCGGGTACAAGAAAAGGTTTGAATTAACTTTCCAACACTCACTGATTTGGAAAATATTGTATTTACCCTGCAGGCGCCAGAATAATTTTTAGAAAAGGTTGATGTGAAACTAAACTAAAATCCATCTCAGAAGATAAAATAGAAAAATGCAGTTTTGTGGAGACCAGGTCACGATATAGAAAGTGGCCTGGATTCAGTAGCAGCTCTGGTTAATTTCCAAATCCCCATGACCAAACCCTTACATTACAGTACAGCTCAAAAGAGACACAATATGAAAAATCTATAATATAACACATTTATGTACATTTTAACAATGTTACCACAGTTTCCTGTCACGGGGTGAAAATGAGGAAGACTCAAAATGCAGGAATGCCAAAATAAAGCTTTTAATAAAACAAAGTCCAAGGCAAAGAACTCCAAAAATCCAAAGTGACCAGGACAAAACTAGATAAGACAATGCAGCAGCAAAAAAGGGAGAGAAGCACAGGGTACATATAGACACACAGGTGAAACACATCAGGGCGGGGCAGACAATCAAGAGGGGAACAGGACATGAAGTAAAACTGAAATTAAACCAGATAACTAATGTCAAAATAAAACCAAATACAGAAATAAAAATCCACACCATAACAGTTTCCTGTGTTTTTAGATCTGTCCACGCTAAAATCAGGAACCGGCACAAACATGTAACTCAGCTCTAACTGTAAAAGTGTGATGTTATAGTGATAAAATGTCATCATACTTTTACAGGAGTGAGGAGCAGTTTTCTCTCTTTTAAAACCAAAGTATGGCCAATGATCAGTTTTGCATGGCTGAGCTTGAAGCTGGTAATTTCAAATTTTGAGAATTAAAGGACAACTCACCCTCAAATCCACTTTTTTTTGCTGATAAACGGTATAAATGAGTGTCCAATAGTGTTGTCTACATATCCTGGTCATAATCTTGTCACTTTGGTGCAAATTAGTTGAAAGTTAAACTTTCTGCCTAAAACCGTCTGTGAGGCGCCATCTGCTGGCGACCTGTATTACTACATTTGAATTTTGAATCTGGCGCCAACACTGGCGCGGCAGCAAGACCTGACGTCTGAAGCAAGACCTGACGTCTGAAGCAAGACCTGACGTCTGAAGCAAGACCTGACGTCTGAAGCAAGACCTGACGTTAGCAGCCCCCCGCCCAGAGCTATATAAACGGCCCAGTCTCGTTCACGCCCCTTTAGTCCTCCAGGCTACGCCCATTTAGAGGAAGATTTGAACAGGAAATGTGAGTAACGTAAGCTCCGAGGAGCGGGGGTGAGAACCACTTTAAATCAAAAAAGAAAGTCTACACCTCCCTCTGGTTGTAGCATAAGATTAGGGCAGACCGAAAGCTTTAAGATAAGTTGTTTGTCACTCAGTGGGGGAGATAGTTGATCAATACAGCAAAATATAAGGAGGAATAAGATTACTCAGGTTATGCACACATCAAACAAGGTCTATTATTTAGGATAATAGATAATAAGATAATAAGCTCTAATTGCACATGGTTACACTTTTTTTTTCTTTTTTTTTTCTTTTTATTGTCTCATTTTTTATCACATTACGGCCACATTTTATCACATTTTTGTCAAATTGTCGTCACGTTATGGTCACATCTTTGTCACGTTATGGTCTCATCTTTCTCACATTATGATCACATCTTTGTCACATTTTTGTCACGTTATCGTCACCTTGTCGTCCTATTATGGTCACATCTTTGTCAAATTTTTTGTTACATTGTCGTCACATTTTTGTCACTTTATCGTCACATTTTTTGTTACATTGTCGTCACATTTTTGTCACTTTATCATCACATTTTTTGTTACATTGTCGTCACATTTTTGTCACTTTATTGTCACATTGTCGTCATATTATGGCCACCTTTGTCACTTTTTCATCTGGTTTTTATCACTCTTATTTTTTTCCTTTCCCCCGTTTGTACCTACACCCAGTAAAACAAGAGAAAAATAAAAACAAAGACAAAGAATAAAAAATAAGATAAAACACAAACGTAGTTAAATAATAAGAAACAATCAAAAAAGAAAAAAAGAAAAGAAAAACGTTTTGTGGGGTGATTACATTTCCATTGTCTCCAACATTGAGGGTCGCCACAGGTCCTCAAATTCTTTCATTTTGTTCTTTAACCTTGCAGTTACTTTTT